TCCTCCGCTCCCACCGCCATCGCCGCCGCTGCCTCCGCCTCCACCGCCGCCACCGAAGCCCCCACCCCCACCACCACTCCCACCGCCACCCCCACCCCATCCGCCGCCTCCACCGCCACCTCCACCGCCCCCTCCAGCTCCTCCAGCGCCCTTGCCCCCCTTGCCCTTGCCGGTGCGGCGTCTCCCGCCAGGGGCAGACGCAGCTCCGACCGACTCGGTGCCAACGAAGTCGACGGCAGCAGCAGAGGCAACAGAGGGCAAAAGGGGGGAGGGGGAGCACCCCTCAAAGAAGGGGGTACGAGGGTCACCACGAGAGGCTCCTACAGCGACTATACTCTTCTCTGCTGCCAGGAGGCGCTCCTCGAGGAGGTCAACGGTGAGTGTTGTGGGGCAAACAGAGAGGAAGTGGTCCCTGACCGAGCGAAGGGAGTCAGGGAGCCGGGTGACTATGTAGTAGAGGGTGATGTACATGGGGGGGGGGGGGGTTCTTGGCGCGGCGCGGTAGCAGGAAGCGCGGCGCGGTAGCGGGTGTCACTAGTGCGAAGGTGCGTAGTGAGGTCAGCGACTGTGGGAAAGGCGGCGAGGTCAGGGAACAGGTACGGTAGCATGAGGCGGCTAAGGGCAGCAATGGCAGGGGAAGAGTAGCGTGCAACTACAGCGTCGTACAAGGTCTTAGCACTCTTGTACTGACTAAAGTGCGCGCGCTCAGTGGACGGCAGGTTACTACGCACAGCAAGACGGGCAGCAGCATCGCGTGTGGCCCACTGTGAGCGAACAGTGCTGTCAGCATCGGCAGTAGGGGCAGCAGAGACGCCAGACGTGAGATCGAACAGTGAGAGACCGTCTTTCCTATCGCACTGCAGGAAAAGCTGCAGATCATCGACCCAGACCTCAAAGTCGACAGCCCGACCCTCAGCATCAAAGGTGAGAACGCTAGGGGTAGCCATGACAGCAGCAGCAGCAGGCTAGCAACAGTAGCAGCAGTAGCAGCAGTAGAGGCGCGGCTCGGCGGTGCTCTTACTAGGGCAGGTGGGTAGAGGCCGAGGCGCGCCGGCAGGGACGGGGCCGCGACAGGGCGGCAGAGGAGTGCCGCTCCTCTCTGCAGGGCAGGGCCGGGACGGCGGCGGCGGCTCCTGCTGTCGGCAGCGGCGGCGGGTGCGGCTTTCATGGCAGCGGCGGCGGCGGCTGCTGCTGTCGGCGGCTGCGGCAGCTGCGGCCCCGGGAGTGGCGGCGGCGGCTGCTACTGCCGGCGGCTACGGCAGCTGCTGTTGTCGGCGGCAGCGGCGGCTGCGGCTGTCACGGCAGCGGCGGCGGCGGCTCCCGCTGCAGGGGCGGTGACGGCTGTTGCTGCAGGGGCGGCAACGGGTGCTGCTGCAGGGGCGGCGACGGCGGGGCGGCAGGTCCGTGAGGGAGCCGAGAAGGGGCCGCGGAGGAGCCGAGAAGGGGCCGCTAAGGGTGGCGAAGGGGCCACGAAGGGCCGTGAAGGGGCCGCGAAGGGCAGCGACGGGGCCGAGAAGGGGCCGTGGAGGGCCACGAAGGGCGGCGACGGGGCCGAGAAGTGCCGTGAGGGGCCGCGAAGGGTGGCGACGGGGCCGAGAAGGGCCGCGAGGGGCCGCGAAGGGCGGCGACGGGGCCGAGAAGGGCGGCGACGGGGCCGCGAAGGGCGGCGACGGGGCCTAGAAGGGGCCGCGTGGGGCAACGAAGGGGCCGCGAGGGGCCGTAAGGGGACACGAAGGGCCGTGAGCGGGGCCGCGGAGGGGCCGCGAGGGAGCCGCGAAGGGGCCGCGAGGGGCCGTGAGAGGGGCCGCTAGGGGGGCCGTAAGAGAGCGCGACGGGCCGCTAAGGGCAGGGGACGCGACGGGAGGGCAGGCACACGGGGCGCGACTCGGGCAGCAGCGAAGCGCGCTCCGGGCAGGAAAAAAAATTTCGATCGTGGTGGGCCCTAGGAAACGTTCCCACTAGGGAACGTGCTCTATACCATGTGAAAAAACGAAGAATGATTGACTAAGGAAATGAGTGTGATACAAATGTGAAACCCTAGAATTGTGTACCCCTTAGAATCTAACCCACTGCAGCCTACACAGGCTAGATCATTTAAGTCTGACAGGAAGCAATGACCAATCGGCGTTGACGAAGGCCAGGTTGATTACACCTGAGAACCCGCTCTAGACTAATCTGAGAACGTATGATATTGGCTGCATATTATTGCCTGAAATTTTGGAAAATCATACACCCATATACATTTTACATCGGTACTCAACCTCGATTTCATACCACTGATTGGTTTTTGCTATTCAATCAGACCTTTTACGCTAAAAAAACCTCCGAAATGTGACAGAAACAACACGCGATTGCCGAACTTAAATATAAACAACTGTGTCGGTAAGCTATGTTGACCACTATTGGGATCTAGAAACTCTATACACGCCCTTTAAGTCACTCTTAGTAGTCCCCACGGGGTCACCTCCAAGGGTCCTCGGGTGCCTGGCAAAGCCAGCCCCTAACCAAGGGTCCGTGTTTTGTAGAGGGACACACTAAGTGTAAAGACAACGGCGTGCACTAGAGCACTCCCAAGACTCCTTGCGCAACGTTGAAGACGAATTGGCTCGTGTGTAGAAAGTTCTCTTCACGTCAATACGATGATTGAGAAAAGCTCCACTGAAAATGATTGATTACAACTGAACACAAGCAGGCATTTATATTTTGCCTAGCACACAAGCATAAGAAAGCACAGAGGGGTTGTTTAACTATACTTCAGGACTTCGCCAGGTGCGCCAAGGAAAACGGTTGTCAAACTGCTTCGAAATTTGGCTTGGTTCTCCCCTGTAGAATAACTATCTTCAAATTTCATGTCTGCCAAATTCCCCTGCTGACTCCCGTCATGAGCGCTCGCGACTTCTCGTGCGCAATCATAAACACTCGTGTGAGATTACCGTTTTCACGAGGTCTCACAGTTGAAAAACGGTTTTCACCGTTTTTCTCCTGTATCGAAATTGTCCCTTTACGCGCGCGATCTTTCCACCGAAGTTACTTGTAAGTCGAGTCAACGCGGGATACGGTTTTTCAACCGCAATCCCAAGCACCCCCACGACTTCAATCATGCACGACCGATATTTCGGTCGTGCTGTACAGTGTGCTGTACTGCGCGTGGGCAGGGCGATCATTCGCTCTGTTCTGTTGCGACCGTGGGCCATGCCACGCTCGCAACAGTGCGAAGGCACACGCGCGGGCCTGAGGGCCCACACGCACGATCAGGACCCCACGCGCGGGTCCCGATTTCCTCGCGCGGTTGACCTTGACCATCGCGAGAAATATCCAAGGGTCAACATTGACCCCTCGTGAACACCCACGATACTTCATGAACACACACGAAAACAGAAAAACGAAAACTAACATGAACGCTCACAAACATTCATGAACAGCGCACAAACTTCACGGAATTTCACGAACACAGTCACGAACACAGAAATTCACGAACACAGAATTCTCGCACACCTATGAAAACTCGCGAAGCAACGCAAACGCACACGAAGTCTCGCATTCACACACGGACATTCACGAACACTCAGGAACGCAACCTTTCACGGGAACTCACATAACTCATGAACCGTTGAGGCGATTCACGAGCCGTAAACACAGAAACGTAAAGCACATAAATGCACAACTTACACAAAACAAATTACCTTGAGACGAAACACCTCACTTTCACTCAACGTCGACACATAGGCGGTAGGTTGTCATGCAAACTATGTATTGCACTCAACAAGCTACCTAATAATATACAAAATCATGAGATCCTCAACCATTTACAAAGAAAATTTGTATCAAGCGCAAGTTCTGTAAATATAATTAAAAAAATCCATTGGGAAAAAGGATGCAAACTGGGAATAACTCAACGGAATGGGCTGACGGCACCGTCAAGCCTCCGTCGACTAAAAAAACTAAAACAAAACCACCATAAACACCATCCGACAATAGAAACTAAAAAGAAATAAAACTAAAAAAAAACAACTAAAACTGCCTCGGATGGCATGTTATGCAAGGGAGGCGTCAATCCTAAACACCACGCGACAAGGTGTTTAAAGTTGATGCCATCCTGTCTGGATGCATTTTCGTAGGTGGTTATCTTTTCATTCCACCAAACGGAAGGCATAAGCCCTAAACACTTGACAATTTCCCGTATTTAAGGTTAATATTCCCAAACTGTGTCCTGGTTATCCAAGCGTTTTAGTATTTTTTGTCAGAATATATTTCTGTATAACTGCATGTAGTTCTAGCTGTAGTGTAGTTCTATTGCTGTCCTATTAGGTGGTGCACCCTTTGGCTTGCTATAACTTGTAACTCTTCTCATAGTGAACTCACATTCTTGTTTCTCCCTTGGTCAACACCCTCGACCTCACCCTTGCTACTCTCGTTCTAACTAAACCCTAGGCTACTAAGCCTACTAAGTTAAGAACCGATTCCAACATGTTATCAAAGCTGGTCCTTCCCAGGACCTAATTTTCATGGGCCCACTAGTCGCGCTGCCCGTCATGCAGCGCCCCTGCCCGTCACTCGCCCCGAGCGCGTGGTGGCTTCTGCCCGTCGCACGCCCCGGGCGTGTGGCGGTTTTCTGCCCGTCGCACGCCCTGAGCGCGTGGCGGTTTCTGCCCGTCGCACGCCCCGGGTGTGTGGCGTTTTCTGCCCGTCGCACGCCCCGGGCGTGCGTCGGTTTCTGCCCGTCGCGCGCCCCCAGCATGCGACGGTGTTCTGCCCGTCGCTCGCCCCCAGCGTGCGACGGTTTTCTGCTCGTCGCGCGAGGGCCCCGTCGCAGGCAAGCACGCGCACTGCTGCAGCCGCCCGTACGCCGCAGCCCTCGTCCGCAGCCCGCGATCGCCGCTGCTGCAGCCCGCCGCCGCTGCACTGCAGCTCCGCGCTCGTACGAGCCCGCCGCCGCTGCAGCCGTGACTGGAGCAGGCAGCATCGAGGGGGTTAGTGGCGGCCGAAGCCGCAAGTCGCCAATGCCCGTGCCAGCACAAGCGAGCGGAGCTGCACCAGCCTCACCTCCTCGCCGTCGCCTACGCCCTGCTCACCGCCCCGCCGCCCGCTTCCTCCTCCCTCTCCTGCTTCGCGTGCAGAAGTTTTGGGGGGGGGGGAGGGGTGGAGGGTGTTGGGGGGACGCAGGAGTGGCGGTGGGGGGGTGGTTGCACCTCCAGTGCCTCGCTGCTCTGCTTCGTCACCAAGCCAGCAGCCCCCCCCCCCCTCCGCCTCTACCTTCCCCCTTCTGCTGCTCCTACTGCAGCGGTGGTTTCTGCCCGGCGCCTCGTGCGCCCTGCCCAACCCGCCCCACCAGATCGCGCACCTCGCCCCCCCTCCCTTCTCTGCCCTCTCCCTACTGCGTGTGCAGCAGTTTGGGGGGAGGGGGAGGTGGTGTAAGGGGGAGGTGGCACCAACGGCACCACCCTGCCTCCTCTGTTTCACGGCCTCACCTGCTGCTGTGGGGGGGAGGATGGAGTGGTGGGAGTGGTGGGAGTGGCGGGAGGAGCTACTGCCGCTGCCGCTCGCCTTCCCCTCTCTCTCCCTGCTGTGCGTGCAACAGTGGGGGTGTGGGTTTGGGGTGGCGGGTGTGAGCACCCACCTGCCACCCCTCCTCCTCTCTCTCTCACTGCCGCACGTGCCGCTGTGGGGGGGAGGGTAAGGGGGTGGCGGGATTCTGGCCGCCGTGTGAAGGCTTGAGCAGGGACCACCGTGGGTGGGGAAGGCGTTGGAGGAAGGGTGGGGGGGAAGGTGTGAGGTTTCAGGGGGCGGTTGCAAGGCGGGTGAGGTTGAGGGGGGTGGCTGAAAGGGGGCGTGGAATTAGGGGGTTAGTAAGAGGGGCTCGCCGCGCTAGGCTCCCCCCCACCTCCTCTCCTCCCTCTCTCACCCTCCCCCCTTTGTAAAACGGGGGTTCGTAAGAGGGGCTCGCCGCGTGGCTCCCCCCACCTCCTCTCCTCATCCCTCTCTCACCCCCCCCCCCCCCCCTTTGTAAAACGGGGGTTCGTAAGAGGGGCTCGCCGCGTGGCTCCCCCCACCTCCTCTCCTCATTCCTCTCCTCTCCCCTCTCTCTCTCTCTCGACTCCTCCTAGCATTCCTCTCTGTTGTCTTCCGCTGCGCAGGGTGTACCCCTCCAGGGGGTGTTATGCACATGGCTATTCCTGCATGCAGTTAGGGGGTGTGTCATAATATATTTCTGTATAACTGCATGTAGTTCTAGCTGTAGTGTAGTTCTATCTGTAGTGTAGTTCTATTGCTGTCCTGTTAGGTGGTGCGCCCTTTGGCTTGCTATAACTTGTAACTCTTCTCATAGTGAACTCACATTCTTATTTCTCCCTTGGTCAACACCCTTGACCTCACCCTTGCTACTCTCGTTCTAACTAAACCCTAGGCTATTAAGCCTACTAAGTTAAGAACCGATTTCAACATTCTTTTTTTCTATTTCGTTGGGTATCTGCGGGTGAGGTACTGGTGGCGACTTTGTTTCAGTATTGTGCTTATAACAACTAGATCAAGTATATTTATTTACTATACCGTGAAATTTCTGGTTGAGTAACCGCTCCTGGCATAATCTGAGTGTCAATGATATTGGCCGCAAAGATTTCCTTCCAACTCGGTTTCCCAATCTCAAAGCGCCAACACGAAACAGCAGAGCCTGAAAAAAACATGTGGTGCGATGTGATGCGTCTATTTCGTTTAGGTTCCACCTCCCAAAAATGTTTGCGCAGTCCACGGACGCCAAAACCCAATTCTCCAAATGCGCCTCGGCGAACCCCTGACTTGACAGGCACTCCATGAATCCACGATCTCCTCTGCATTCGCGATTTGAACCAAGCTTGATGAGCCTTTTCCGCGAATATAAACGCTACAAGGATCCTCGAATTTCTTCAGAACGAATCTGTGTTGGATCATCTAGTCCAGTGTGACTCATTTTCTCTCAAGCTTCAGTTTTGCGGCAGCGTTGCATAGCGCGACATGGCGAAGCAAGCAGTGCTGGCCATGTGCCTGGCGGCGCTGGTGTTGGCGGCGAGCGTAGGTGACCCGTCCAGTGCGGCGAACAACAAGCCGGTGAGCGTGGCGAAGGAGAAGGCGAGTGACGCGGACGCGACGTCGGCCGGGTGGAACAATATGAAGTGCCACGCAGAACTGAAGCCGCACGCCGGCACGTGCACTCCACAGAACTGCAGCAAGGGCGGCATTCCCGCCAAATGGAAGACTGCGAACCTGCTCAAGAACAAGATTGGTATATATGTGTACGTGAAGGGTAGCCCGCTGACGGTTGCGAAGGCGTCCCCTCAGACGTGCTGCAACATGTGCGCGTCGACCAAGGGGTGCAAGTACTGGCTGTACATTCCCGGCACCACGCTCTACGGCACGAGGACGGACGATGCGTGCTATATGGTGAAGGAAGATATCGACTACATGTGCGGCAAGCTGGTCGCGCAATACGCGGAGGCGAAGCCCCTCCACCTACAGGTGCGCACGGGCGGCGAGTGCAATACGGCGTCGGAGATCGTCAACGACCCGCATCTGGTGGGCGCGTACGGCACGCACTTCGACTTCAACGGCCGCCCCGACGCCGCATTCTGCCTGCTGACGAACCGCAAGCTGCACGTGAACATGCTGCTGCGCGGGTACTACAGCGACAACACGGAGAACGCGGCGCTGGTTGTGGACGGCAAGGCCGTGCACACGTGGATCAAGGAGCTGGGCATCGTGTGGCTCGCCGACGGCGCGGATCACAAGATCCGGCTTGCGGCGCGCAGCGGCAAGCAGCAGGTACGCGCGTCGGGGTTCATGAAGGCGATCGAGATCGACGGCGAGGCGATTCCGCGCATGCGCGTGGGCGACGTGGTGACGTCAGAGGGCGGGCTGACGCTGACGTTCAAGGCGCTGGAGAAGGAGGGCCCGTATGACGTGGACTACTACACGCTGGACATCGAGGGGCTGGTGGCGCTCGACATGCGGCTGCGCGTGGCGAACCCGAAGCTGCAGACACCGACAGAGGCGGAGGCGCACATCAACGTGAGCATTGTGGAGCTGTCGCACACGGACGAGATCCATGGCGTGCTGGGCCAGACGTACCGCGAGGACCACGCGCAGAGGGCCGCGGACTTCCCGAAGATGATCGCGTCGCTGCACCGCCCCATCTGCGCCGACAGCGCTGAGGGCGAGGGCTTCCTCGACGGCAACTCGCGGTCGTATGAGACGAGCTCCGTCCTCGCTGTTGACTGCTCCAACACAACTTACTGCCACGCCAAGAAGCTCAGCCCTGTTGACTACTCCGTTGGTTTTCCATAGACGACGGAAATGTTGGTTCCTTGTTCCACGTTCTCACTTTCTGGTTGGCTGACTAAAGGTGGGCTGACCCATCGGATGGGTGGGCTGATTTTTAGCTTGTGCAAAGCTACAAGCGACTGTAATGTAATTTGATAAATAGTTCGATTATGATGCTACCGAGTGCATGATGTCTACCCACAGAGATGCTTGGTGACTTTCTTCTACCATGCGCGGTGACTTGGATGGATCCGCCATGGATTCTTCCGCCATGCTCGGTGACTTGGATGGACCCGCCATGGATTCTTCCGCCAGACCATTCGCTTGGCACCGCCTCGGAACAAGGTGTTCGGAGATACTACGAACTTTGTGTCATTCGAGCTGACAATTTCTCATTGTGGCATCCTTCGTTCCAGGCGAGCTCTTTCCTCGCTGTTGATTGCTGCCATACCACTAATCGCCACGCCAAGCAGCTAAGCCCGGTTGAGAACCCGTTGACAACTAAAATGTTGGTTCGCATTGTACTTCTGGGCTTTCTGGTGGGCCGCTTTGCTTGTGGGCTGGTTCGACAAGAGGGCTGATTATAGGTGACAGTAAAAAAAATATCAATTATTAATTTCGTCCCATTTTTCCGATGTTAACATTAATAGTTTGTACATCAGATATACAGCAATATCATCGCCCTATTGTGTGTCTAGGTGTTTTTTAGTCTGTGGATCTTGTCTTTAGCTATCCTCTCATAAAATACTTTCTATGGTGAGCTGGAATCAATTGTTCCGTTTATGGTAAATTATAAAACATACAATCGCTTGTAACTGCGGATAAGCGAATAATCAGCCCACCTATTATCAGCCCACAGAACCAGCCCACCAACAAACAATGCTACAAGGGGAAGATACCAACATTTTCGTTGTCTACGGAAAACCAACGGGGTACTCAACAGGGCTGAGCTTCTTGGCGTGGCGGTAAGTGGTGTGGGAGCAGTCAACAGCGAGGACGGAGCTCGTCTCATACGACCGCGCGTTGCCGTCGAGGAAGCCCTCGCCCTCAGCGCCGTCGGCGGAGATGGGGCGGTGCAGCGACGCGATCATCTTCTGGAAGTCCGCGGCCCTCTGCGCGTGGTCCTCGCGGTACGTCTGGCCCAGCACGCCATGGATCTCGTCCGTGTGCGACAGCTCCACAATGCCCACGTTGATGTGCGCCTCCGCCTCGGTCGGCGTCTGCAGCTTCGGGTTCGCCACGCGCAGCCGCATGTCGAGCGTCACCAGCCCCTCGATGTCCAGCGTGTAGTAGTCCACGTCATACGGGCCCTCCTTCTCCAGCGCCTTGAACGTCAGCGTCAGCCCGCCCACTGACGTCACCACGTCGCCCACGCGCATGCGCGGAATCGCCTCGCCGTCGATCTCGATCGCCTTCATGAACCCCGACCCGCGCTCCTGCTGCTTGCCGCTGCGCGCCGCGAGCCGGATCTTGTGATCCACGCCGTCGGCGAGCCACACGATGCCCAGCTCCTTGATCCACGTGTGCACGGCCTTGCCGTCCACAACCAGCGCCGCGTTCTCAGTGTCGTCGCTGTAGTACCCGCGCAGCAGCATGTTCACGTGCAGCTCGCGGTCCGTCAGCAGGCAGAATGCGGCGTCGGGGCGGCCGTTGAAGTCGAAGTGCGTGCCGTACGCGCCCACCAGATGCGGGTCGTTGACGATCTCCGACGCCGTATTGCACTCGCCGCCCGTGCGCACCTGCAGGTGGAGGGGCTTCGTCTCCGTCGCGTATTGCGCGATGATCTCGCCGCACGTGTAGTCGATATCGTCCTTCACCATAAAGCACGCGCCGTCTGTCTTCTTTTTGTCGAGCGTGATGTCGGGAATGTACTGCCAGTACGTGCACCCCTTGGTCGACGCGCACGTGTTGCAGCACGTCTGAGGGGACGCCTTCTTAACCGTCAGCGGGTTACCCTTCACGTACACCTCCACACCGATCTTGTTCTTGAGCAGGTTCGACGTCTTCCACTTGGCGGGAATGCCGCCCTTGCTGCAGTTGGCGGGCGTGCACGCGCCGGCGTGAGGCTTCAGCTCCGCGTGGCACTTCATCTTGTTCCACCCGGCCGTCTTAGCGTCCGCGAACAGCATCGAGTCGGTTGCCGTCGACACCACGGTAACACCCGTCGCGTCGCCCGCCGTAGCTTGCTTCACGATGGCAGGGCTCACATCTGAGACGGTCCCGTAAGGGTCCTCCGCCTTCTCCTTCTCCGCGTTCACCGGCTTGTTGTTCGACGAATTGAACGGGTCGCCGGCGCTCGCTGTCAACACCAGCGCCGCCAGGCACAGAGCCAGCACTGCTTGCTTCGCCATGTCGCGCTATCCAAACGCTGTCGCGAAAGTGAAGAGTGGGAGAGAAACTGACAAGCAACTTTTTGATCTACACAAACTCGTTCTGCGGAAATGTGAGAAAATTGGTGGCCTTATAAGCCTCATCGAGCCTCGAATGCGGGGGAGCTGGATTCATTCAGAGTGACTGTCAAGTCAAGAGTTTGCCGAGGCGCGTACAGTCAACAGCGTGGAGAACTGTTGGTTTAGGCTCCGTGGACTGCGCAAACATGAGGAGGGAGGAACCTGAACAAAATAGACGGACGCGTCGAATCGCATGTACCAGATGTTTTTTTCAGGAAGACTCATCCAGGCCCAGCTGTTTTGTGGTGTCGTGGTTAGATTGGGAGCTCAAGGAGTTGGAAAGAAATTCCTGAGTGTGTAATTGTTTTCCAAAATCTCAGGCAAGTCTACTGTCTGCATGTATGGCACGGCGGGAAACTCTGCGTTGCCGAGTTATTTTAGCGCAAATGATGCTGAGGAGGACCAGTGCACTCGGCTTGCAGGAACCGTACATGAAGGAAACTACCTGAATTCAGAGTTGATTGAAACAGACCCGATTCTAAGTTTTGAATCTCGTGTGAAAATGCTTCTCTTACAAATGGAACAGAAAGTATATTTTATTTACACAATCCTGTAATAACATTGGTAACAACATAGACCAAGTGTCTCATACATCCGCAAGCAGCTTCCAGAATGATTAATGTCCGCTCATGCCTTCACTCACTGTAGTGTTTGCTACGATAGTGCAATTCTTGCTCACTCACTCCACATGGTATTCAAAGCCACACTTTTTATCGGAACTCACACACCTTCACTTCCCAACTTCTCATTTTCAGAAGAGGGGGGAGGTAGACGCCCCACAGCGCCTAGTGCCGCTAATCATGTGCTCTCTCGTTGGCACACACAGCCACGACCGAGGCTGCCACTGAGCTCGCTCAATGCCCTCGCAATGGACGAACGCATCACTCTCGAAGGCCTGACTCAGGAGCGCCTTGATGAGATCACTTGCCAACTGCACGCATCCGCATTTGAAATCGCCGCATTGAAGGCATAGCGCGACTCGCTTCAGCAGTCGACTTCACACGCTCCCCCACAAGCACCGGCACAAGCCCCTACCGAAGCAACCATCACCATCAACTTAGGGACGCCTTCTGCGTCACGATGCGACAGTATGGGACAGCGCTCAACCGTAGCCACTGATGGCGCTGCCCTACAAATGCTGGGCATGGAGCGAATCGGGGAGGCACCAGACGTAAACACTTATTGCGACAACCGTCGTCATGTCAGCATTGCAACGCAACAACGATGTTGCCGGGCCAATGCCGCTCAAGTCGCAACGCCCTACCTGTTTCGACCCAAGTCAGCGTGGAGTTCGACGGTTCAATCACGGGTGTTCATGATGAACGTGTGTGTGTGTGTGTATGTGTGTGTGTGTGTATGTGTATGTGCGTGTGTGTGTGTGTATTTGCGTGCGTGCGTGCGTGTGTGTGTGTGTCTGTGTGTGTGTATGTGCGTTTCAAAACCCTTTTTTTTACACGAATTGTTTCACGTCAGACGCAACAAAGATTCGGTACACTGTCTCTCTGCTACGTGGGCCCGCCATGGACCGGTGGCGAATAATCGTTACTTCGCTGACCGACTATGAACTATTGTCACAAGGGGAGAGGCCCTCGGGGCCAGGTATTAACTAGAGCACTTCGCTCTGCGAAATTCCTCATTATCACACATGGGACGCTTGTTGCACAGGGTTACGAACGCTTCGTTCTCAACACGTTAGAGGCTGCGCACTTAGTGACAGATGGGTCAGTTCAAGATTATACCAGCGGCTTTCTCGCCTTATGCGAAAAGGTCGGCTACATGCATGAAACGGAGCGGATTGAAGCTGGAAATCGCACAGGGGATCCTCCTACGCGAGATCTCGAATTTCAAGGCACTGTGGGCACTTGTCGAGAATATTGACATTCTATGCCGACCGAGGCCGGGGTCCTATCATTACAAACAACGTACTGGGGGAACGCCCGAGCACACCACGGTCCATGCCGTTGCGATGAATGCTTTGTCACGCCATTTCGATGGCGCTGCTTCGCGTACAACAGGCCGGGCCATCTTAAGAGCCAGTATCATGAGGAGCAAAAATGCTGAGAAGTAGAGCAGGGGAGAGAGTCTGGGAGGCAAGGAACACCAGCAATCAATACAATACGGGCCCACTTCAAACGAGACTCATTGCTCACCCAATCCTATTGAACCTCACCGAGTGGCTGTACCGATTCACGCTATGGATTGGGCTCAACTGAATGGAGGGTCAAGCGACAGATTGCCCAGTAATAATTCATGGGAGATGATAAGGGACAGAAGTGTTGTTTTAATCGACGCATGGGCTAACCACAGGTTAGTTAATACCCCGATTACGAGGAAGCTGCAATTGACACTTAGCCGCTGTTTACCTGAGATCGACGCATGACTGGATGATGGCACACCACTAGCAGAACGTGAAGTGGTAAGGGTGAAGATTCAAAGTAGGGGTAATTTCGATTTTACACTGGAGATGCCAGTGACAACATTGGATGGGACCAACATTTTGCTAGGACGTCATTGGCTGCGACAGTACAACCTGCGAATCGACTGGACAACAGGCAGCCACACCCATGCAAAGGA